ATGAATAGGAGTTAGCCAGGAAAAGAATTTCAGAGAAAAGAGAAAGCTCTAGTAAAGTCACAAAACCATAAAATTTCATGAAGGAAACTTAATATAACTACAGTACAGGGTACAGTGCAATGGAGGGGATGGGAAATGTGGCTGGATACGTCATTTGAGGATCAGTACATGAAGAGTCCTGTATAAGATCCTGAGAAAGGTTTAGATCGTGTTAAAACTCATAAAAAGGGATGGTATCATTAACAAGTCTGTATTGCAGAAAAATAACTGATGGCAGTGCGAAGTTTAGAAAGCATACAATACCAGAAGCAAAGAGACTTGTTTTTAAAGGCGATCACTACAGGCCAGAGTAGAGACGATAAAGACTAAGAGAATAGCAAGGGAAGGAATAGCAAGAAAACAATTACGGAGATGAGGCTAAGTGACTGATGAACTGAACGGTGGAGGTAAAGGAGAAAGTGGAGTTGATGATGGCACTAGTCAAGAAAGGGGAAAGAAGAGAATCAGCCTGTTCAGGGAAGACTATAATGAGCTACATTTTAAATAAGCTGAATTTTCTATTTTTGTTTATGGTTCTCACTGGTAGACATCTGGAAATTCTTACTGACTCCATTCACTAAAAGAAAAGTTCTTCTCATTTCTTCCCATTCAAGAATAACATTCATTCATGCAACAATTTCTTTTTGGAATGTTTACCACACATCAGGCACCATTATAAATGCTAGAAATACATATCAGAGAACAAATAAAGTCCCTGTTAAAGAAACTTAACATTCTAGCCTTCTACTATGGTGTAAAAAATGGTAGGGAAGAATCAGTTAGGCTGGGTGCGGTGACTCACCTTTAAAATCCCAGCACTTTGGGAGGCTGAGGAGGGTGGATCACTTGAGGTAAGGAGTTTGAGACCAGCCTGGCAGACATGGGGAAACCCCACCTCTACTGAAAATACAAAAAGTAGCTGGGCGTGGTACCAGGCGCCTGTGGTCCCAGCTACTTGGGAGGCTGACGCAGAAGACTCAGGTGAACCTGTGAGGCGGAGGCTGCAGTGAGCCGAGATCCCGCCATTGCGCTCCAGCCTGGGAAACAGAGCGAGACTCCATCTCACAAAAAAAAAAAAGAGTTAAAAATATAGGTATACAGTACATAATCCATGTGATTACCAATGTAAGCTTCAAAGTATTGTTAAAGCATGTTTTAAATCATGTTATCATTACAAAATAGTAAAAGTACTGTCTTATTTTTGGAAATGAATGCCTGAAAATTTGTGTGTTTGACAAGTTTTAGTTTTCACATATCAGGATTGTTTATAATGAAACATGTATGTGTCTAGTTTTTTTTTACACGTTACACTATCCTAATAATAACAACAGTTGTGAGGGTGGGAGGAGGGAGAGCATCAGGAAGAACAGCTAATGTATGCTGGGCTTAATATCTAGGTGATGAGACGATCTGTGCAGCAAACCACCACGGCACACATTTACCTGTGTAACAAACCTGCACATCTAGCACATGTACCCCTGAACTTAAAAATTGAAGAAAAATAAAAATAGGAGTTACAGTTTTCAGGAAAGTAATGAAACTAAATGACTACCATTTCATACAAACTGAGTTTTGTTCAAACTGCTTTAAAATTTGATAATCTCCTCTTAAAGTTTCTTTTCTACTTTTCCATGAGAAACAGCTTTGCTAGTGCAAAGTTTGATCACGACTTCTAGTAAACCATTAATTGTAAAATGCTATTTTATTCAAGATGCTACATAGATATTTTGCCTATTTTTAAAAATTATTTTAATCCTTTAAACAGGCTACTGAGGCCGGGCGCGGTGGCTCAAGCCTGTAATCCCAGCACTTTGGGAGGCCGAGACGGGCAGATCACGAGGTCAGGAGATCGAGACCATCCTGGCTAACACGGTGAAACCCTGTCTCTACTAACAAAATACAAAAAACTAGCCGGGCGACGTGGCGGGCACCTGTAGTCCCAGCTACTCGGGAGGCTGAGGCAGGAGAATGGCGTAAACCTGGGAGGCGCAGCTTGCAGTGACCTGAGATCCGGCCACTGCACTCCAGCCTGGGCAGAAGAGCGAGACTCCGTCTCAAAAAAAAAAAAAAAAAAAAACAGGCTACTGAACACTAGTTCTTAGTTTCAAAAGGGAAGCTTACCTAAGAAAAAGTTATTTAATAAATATGACAAGATATATTTATTTCTTTTTGATTTTTCTTTTTTAGAGAGACAGAGGTCTCACTATGCTGCCCAGCCTGGGTCGCGAACCCCTGGGCTCAAGTAATCCTTCCACCTGACCTTCCAAATTGCTAGAATTACAGGCATGAGCCACCATGCCCAGCCCAAGAAGATGTATTTCATAAACCTTAAAATGAATTACATTTCTAAAACAGCGTGAAAGTTTTTTTCTTTAACTCATTGACAAACATTATTTTCTATTTTCAATAAGATTACCAAATATGCCCCACACCTAGGCCATCTTTTTTCTTTCCTAATATTTACCTTTTGTCAGCTTCTCACTGCTTTTAGTACTTCCAAGTTGCCTAAAGTTGTTATCAACAATCTTCTACCTCATTGTCATTGCCTGGACCAGGAACTCCCAAAAGAAGCAGAACAACCCCTAAGGGACATTCTGAAAGTACATGAGGCCCTGTTTGGTTGCACAATAATTTGAATAGAAGGGAGGGTATTTGGTGGATGGGGGACTATTGATCCTAAGAAGTCCTAAAATACATGAGACAATCCTGTATAACAAAGAACTGTTTGCATCCCTCGATTTTAAAAGATTAAGTAGGTGAAAAGTTTATGATAATCTTAGTCCAGAACTTTATTATATATAAATATATAATTATTACACTGTTTTAGTACAGACTGAATCTTCCACAAGTGCAAGTGCCATGTAAATTGAGGGAGATTCCACTGTTTTGTTCAAATTTTTACCAGAAATTGTTCGCCATTTAGGAAAAATAAGTTTGTAAAGAACGATGGTCACTCTGCTATTTGAGGAGCCAATATAATAATTTGATAATTTGCATTGGTAGCTGTCACACACACAGTGATTCTATGACTTGGTGCAATATGCCAGCAACTAATAATTACTCATTATGTTTTCTAATGTAGTAACGTCTAAGTATTTACATATTTAAATTGTAGACATGTTAACATTTTCTTTTTTTTTTTTGAGACAAAGTCTTGCTCTGTTGCCCAGGCTGGAGCGCCGTGGCGTGATCTCCGCTCACTGCAACCTCTGCCCCCTGGGTTCAAGCAGTTCTGCCTCAGCCTCCCTAGTAGCTGGAATTACAGACATGTGCTACCACACCCAGCTAATTTTTGTATCTTTAGTAGAGACAGGGTTTTGCCCTGATGGCCAGACTGGTCTGTGATCCGCCCGCCTCAGCCTCCCAAAGTGCTGGGATTATAGGAGCGAGACACCGCACGCAGCCTGTAGACGTGTTTTCTAATAAAATATTTCACCTTTATGTCTCAATTAAAGCATTATATTTGTTATTAAAAGTTATGTTTATAGGTAGATTTTATTGTCTATGAATCTGACTTCAGGATTTCAGGGTATTACAGGACTCAGACAGTTTGAGAATCACTGGCCTACACCTTAGCCTTCATGCACCTGGACTACTAAAGATGCTTCCTATCTGATACTCTGGATTCTGTAAACTCTCTCCTCTTCCAAGTAAAAATACCTACAGATGTAAAAATCACCAATATTAGTTCTATCTTCCAATTACCACAGCTCCCAACTACCTTGAAAGCCTGATACTGGGATTTTTACAACTCTCCACAAAAGGATTACTTCTGCCTAATCTTGTTCAGCTATATCATACACTGAATACTATATCCAGAAATCCTTATTTCTAAGGAGTCAGCAAGTCATAGTGGAAAAGGTGTAGCATTTGGAATCGTAGATCTGCCACTTACCAGGGATGATCCTGGACAAGTTAATTAAAACTTTCTAAATCTCTATTGCCTCATTTTTTTTTTCTTTGTTGGAGACAGGGTCTAGCTCTGGCTCTCAGGCTGAATTGCAGTGGTGAAATCATAGCTCACTATAACCTCAAACTCCTGGGCTCAAGTGATCCTCCAGACCCAGCCTCCCAAGTAGCTAGGACTACAGGCTCACACCACGATGCCCAGCTGATATTTTTCATTTTTCTTTTGCAGAGATGGCATCTCCTATGTTGTCCAGGCTGGCCTCCAACTCATGGTCTCAAGTGATCCTCCTGCCTGGCCTTCCTAAAGCGCTGGGATTACAAGCCTAAACCACCACTTGGGCAATTTTTCATATTGAATGTTGAAATATTACCGTGCAACTGTGCATGTATCAGGTTAAATACATCGTTAAAATTAAACCCACCTGTTTCTCTTGTTTAACATGGCTACAGAAACGTAAAAATACGTATGTGGCTCACAATATGTTTCTGTTGGACACCTCTGTTAGACCCTTCCTTTTTCCACCTCTACGGTTCATCCTGAATACACCACTTGCAGTTTCCAACAGAACCCTGTTTCTGTGCCGGAGACTCTGGAGATAGTACTCCTGGTACCTGAAACAATTTTTCCCCTTCTCTTTGCTGAATGAACTGCTTTTATTCATTCAGATCCTAATTTTTAACTACAGCTTTCTCCAAGAAGCGTCCCTGATCCCACCACGTCCCCTGCAAGACGGTATTAGGGCCTCCTATGAGACAAGAAAATCCACATACAGCACTTATACTGTATTTGCAATTGCCTATTTTCTGGTTTGTGTCCCAGACAAGACTGGAAGCTCCTTGAGGAGACAGATCCTCAGAACTGCTGCTCCGTCTTCCACGCCCAAACGTCAAAGCCAAGCACAAGGCGGTCTCTCCACTGAACAAATGAGCGCTAGGGAACAGACGGTGAGCGAATGCGGGGGAGTACAAAGGTTCAAGGGTGAGGCGGTAGAGGGCAGAAGCAGAAACTACAAGGGAGCCAGACGGGGGTGGGGGCCGCTGGCAGCACTCACCAGTCCCTGCTGGTCGACGTCGGCGTCGGGTCTTTTAGCCGAGGGCTGCAAATACTCAGCGTAGCGCAACCCCTCGCCAACTGGGACGATGACACCACGGGCAGCCATGGCAATGCGGCCCGGAGACGCAAGGCGCCGCGGCGATGACTACGAGGCGGCCTTAGGGACAAACTAGTTAACGCGGTTTCTTCTCGCAGATCCAGTGCACTCTGTGCTCGCAGTGCTGTTAAAGGCGAGGGTCCCAGAAGCTACCCTTCTCACCCAAGCTGGGCAGTGTGTCCTGTGCAAGCTCGGGGTCAGATTCCGAAAAGAGCCAAGGGCACCGGGACGTTTTTGAATCACAGTCGCAGGCGCAGAGCCAACGCTGACCCTCAGGGAGCTTTATATACTTGGGCCTTGCCCCTCCCCATGCCTCCCTAAGGGACTGGGCTTAAGTCCTGTGAACTGATGTTGGTCGAATCAGATGCCTGGCCATTGAGCTCGGAGTCTAGCTGTAGTGCCTGAGGGTGGGCTTGCCTGAGATTTCCGGACCCCCTTCCGGGCAGCCTTTCTTCCTACCCTCAACTACTGTTCGCACTTCTGTTTAATGCCACAGTTCTCCCACCCCAGGAGAGAAATTGAAGAGACAATTTGCTTACACCACCCCCAAGTAAATGGCTGTATTTAAGGTGAAATTACACAGAAGAAAGTTGTGGCCCGGCACGGTGGCTCACGCTGTAATCTCGGCATTTTGGGAGGCCGAGGCAGGTGGATCACAGAGGCCAGCAGTTTGAGACCAACTTGGCCGACATGGTGAAACCTCGGCTCTACTAAAAATACATAGGTTAGCCAGGTGTGGTGGCGCGTCCTTGTAATCCAAGCTACTCAGAAGCCTGAGCAGGGAAAGAGAGTTGTAAGCAAGTCTGTAAATCTTACTCTCCCTCAAATGAGTTTGTGCTGATTTGTATATATAAAAGCCCATTTTATTATTAAGGTTTTTTTGTTTTTATTTTGTTTTGTTTTGTTTGAGACGGAGTCTCCTGTTGCCCAGGCTGCATGCAGTGGCACGATCTCTGGCCACTACAACCTCTGCCTCCCAAGTAGCTGGGATTAAAGGCATGTGCCGCCACACCTGGCTAATTTTTGTATTTTTTAGTAGAGACGAGGTTTTACCGTGTTGGCCGGGCTGGTCTCAAACTCCTGATCTCAGGTGATCCGCCCGCCTCAGCCTCCCAAAATGCTGAGATTACAGGCGTGAGTCACCGTGCCTGGCCTCCATCAAGCTTTTTAAAGCAAAAATTAACCAGCAGTTGAAGCTTATGGTGTTTTCCAACTCCTGTACCAACTTGGCAGCTCTGTTGCTCCTTATACCCTTTGCAGAATCAGTTGACAGGAAGAAAAATCTTTATTTTTGTTTTCTATTCCTGAATTTAAAGTTTTGAGGGTCTATTAATTTGTTCACTGAGTTAATATTACTAGCATGCCTAAGAAGTTAGGTCCTAGAAATTTACAATCTTGTAGGGAAGATAACACTGACACAGAATAATAATAATACATACCAGAACATGAGCACATGCATTGCACAGCACTATAAAGAGAACTGGACTGGGAATGAAACTGCCATTGCAAAATTAAACCCAGAAAGAGATCTGGCCCAATCAACACCATCTTGCTTCTAACCTCCAAGCTGTCTTGTTCATTCCTGGCCGTAGGCCGAACTAACTTTGGGAGGAAAGTAATCCATAGTTTATAGTTTGAAACAAAGATGACAAAAGCCCTTTCCCAAAACAAACCTCCTTCTTGCCTGGGGACTAGACTGCCTTTGTAGGACTAACAAATTAGCCACAAGATTAGAAATTGGGATTTAGGAGTGATGCAGCTGGAGGCTACAGGATTCTGACCCTCCCCAAATTGTTGCTGGAGCTAACATCACTATTGTAAAAACTACCACCAGTGCTTGAGATATCTTGCAGGCCCTGCACTTGATGGATCAGCTGGCATCGCCCAGATCAATAAACTGGCTCATCTGATCTCGTGGCCCCCACTCAGGAACTGATACCACAAGAAGACAACATGCACTCCCTATGATTTCATCTTTGACCTGGTCAATTAGCACTCCCAGCTCACTGGCTTCCCCCTACCCACCAAGTTGTCCTTAAAAATTCTGCTCCCAGCCAGGCCCGGTGGCTCACGCCTGTAATCCCAGCACTTTGGGAGGCCGAGGCGGGTGGATCATGAAGTCAAGAGATTGAGACCATCCTGGGCAACATGGTGAAACCCCATCTCTACTAAAAATACAAAAATTAGCTGGGCGTGGTGGCACGCACCTGTAGTCCCAGCTACTCGGAGGCTGAGCCAGGAGAATCACTTGAACCTGGGAGGCCGAGGTTGCAGTGAGCAGAGATGGCGCCACTGCACTCCAGCCTGGGTGACAGAGTGAGACTCCGTCTCAAAAAATAATAATAATAAATAAATAAATAAAAAATTCTGATCCCTGAATGCTCTGGGAGACTGACTTGAGTAGAAATGAAACTCCAATCTCCCACACAGCCAGCTCTGCGTCAATTACTCTTTCTCTATTGCAATTCCCCTGTCTTTATAAATTGGCTCTGTCTAGACTGCCAGCAGAGTAAACCCATTGGGTGGTTACAGGAATAAGGAAGAGGTCTGAGTTCTAGTGTACCTCCATTATTTTCTGGGCTTGTATAACTGAACATGTCCATTAACATCTCCAAATCTTACCCGTTAAAGGAGAATAACATTTGTCCAACATTCTGACTCAGGGAAGTTGTGTAAACAAACCTCAAAGAGCCAATCCTTCAAGATGGATCCCAACTGGCTAACTAGGACTAACTTAAAATAGAACCAAACCTTCCTTTTACACCGAAATCTGTGGCTCTCAGGTTTGCAAACTGTTTATTGGGATAGTCTCTCTCCTCTAAATTCCTTTTCAGAAAACTTTTCGTTTACATAAGGATAAAGAAAACAAGAGGATATGAAAGCAATTTGTGTAATGCACTTATGAAAAGAGCTACAACCATAATGCTCTCAGAGTTTACAGGAAGGAATGGCCACTTTTAATAGGGGTCATCGGAGAAGGTTTAGTGAAGACTTAGCCATTGAGATGAGGTAATGAACAATGGGTAAGATTTTTTTAGATGGAAGAGAGGAAATGCCAGACATTTCAACTGGAAACAAATGGAAGGAAATGAAAAATGGTGATTCACAGGACCGGGTAAAAATTACTCCAGGACTCTTCAGAGAAATAATCTCATTACAGAAATTAATTTTTGTTAGAGAGATCCACAACTATGAAGGACACTAGTAACCTAAGCAAATGAATTGGATCAAGGCCTACAGGTCATTCTTCCATTCATTTATTTATTCAATAAATATTTATTGAGTATCTGTTAGGTATGAGGAACTATGCTAGGCATTGGACCTATAGAGTCAAACATACAAATAAGGTCTCTGATTCCTTGGAGTTTGGAGTACCCTAGCCGCTGGGCCCTAGCAGTAGCAGGCTGCTGGCCTGGAACAAATGAACAATTAGAGCAAGACCCAGGTTAGCTTCAGCTCCTGTTAAGGCAGCTACTGCTCCTGCTCAGGAACTGGAGAGAAGCTTTCAGAGCAGAAGCCAGGAAAAGGGGGAATAGTAGAAGTGGGAAGGGGAGAATATAGCAAGGTGGAGGTGAGGTGGACTCAGCAGGGTTGCATCTCAGCTCAGACCCCAAACTATTGAGAGCAGATGGCTGGCTGCTTGTAAACTTGACTGACCTCATTCCACCGCTGCCTCAGGTATCCACTCCTGCAGATGTAGCCAATTTTAAAGAAAAATTTCATCCACAAAGATTACTCAGTTCCCAGCCCTTGGTTCTTTGGTAAATTCACCCTCCTCAGGAAAGAAAGGATGGAAAAAAGGGCAATGAAGTCCTTTCCTCTTCCCAACAAGGATCTCTTTCTGATTTAGCTGAACTCAATTTTCTGGCTTCTTGAGAACAAAGAAAAATATTTTTGTGAAACCCAAAAGGGAGGGCACATTAAATTTTCATTGGCCTACTTTTATTAGTTATGCCACTTCAAAGACAGATTACATTATGTTCAGTAGACTTTGTAAAATAAAGGCAGATTGCATTGGTAGTATGTCTTCGAAACATCTCAGTGGAAAATGTTCTAAAAATTTATTGTTTGAAAGGACTTTTGACAAAGACAACTGACCTCTCAGTGCCTCAGTTTCCTCATTAGTAAAGTAGGTGATAATAGCACTCCCTTGTGCGAATTAAATGAGTTCACTTTTGTAAAGCTCTTAGAACAGTGCTTCATACCTAGTAACTTCTACAAAATTGTTAGTTACTATTTTCTTTATATTACCTCTTTCACCGATTTATTTCTTTGTGTATTTTCTCTCACTAGCTCTGCCTCCTTCCCCCAGCTATTGTGTTGACCCCCAACCATTGTCTTGTCTTCGAAATTACAAAATTGGACTAACATTGCATAGTGATAAAATATAATTGTGGGAGAGGAAATAGTTGTTTTTATGAAAATGAAATTAAATGCCTTGGAAAGATTTAATAAAACAAGTTATTTTTAAAAAGCTGTTGAATAGTGAGCATGAGAAGAGAATCACAATAACTGACTATGATTCTATACTGCTTGCTTTTAAAATGTCTTGCTCCATCTTCGTTCTAAACAAACTCAAGTTATGAATCACAGAGGATGGATTATCAGTGTGGAAGAAATCCAAGGCAGAACTGAACCAGAGGACCCACATTCAAATAAAAGGCCTTGGCCCTGCAGCCCTGCAGATATACATAGAGTACATGAATAGATATACAATATGTCTGTTGTGACACTAAAATTTCATGTGGGTGGGTAGAGGGAGTGTTATTAGGGAAAAAGTCAAAAAAAGCTTTTGGGTGGAGATAATGAAGAAAAAAAAGGTTGAGAAACAGTGATGTATATATGATATAAAAGAAAAAAAAATGGTTAAAGTGGTCAGGCATGGTGGCTCATGCCTGTAATCTCAGCACTTTGGGAGGCTGAGGCAGGCGGATCATCTGAGGTCAAGGGTTCGAGACCAACCTGGCCAACATGATGAAACCCCATCTCTACTAAAAATACAAAAATTATTGGCCGGGCATGGTGGCTCACACCTGTAATTCCAGCACTTTGGGAGGCTGAGGCGGGTGGATCATGAGGTCAGGAGTTCAAGACCAACCTGGCCAAGATGGTGAAACCCCATCTCTACTAAAAATACAAAAAATTAGCCACGCATGGTGGCAGACTCCTGTAATCCCAGATACTCAGGAGGCTGAGGCAGAGAATGGCTTGAACCCGGGAGGTGGAAGTTGCAGTGAGCCGAGATCATGCCACTGCACTCTAGCCTGGGCAACAGAGCAAGACTCCGTCTAAAAAAAAAAAAAATTAGCTGTGTGTGGTGATGGGTGCCTGTAATCCCAGCCTCTTGGGAGGCTGAGTCAGGAGAATTGCTTGAACCCAGGAGGCAGAGGTTGCAGGGAGTCAAGATCACGCCATTGCACTCCAGCCTGGGTGACAAGAGTGAAACTCCGTCTCAAAAAAAAAAAAAAAGGTTAAAATATGTATATT